GGGCCTTTATGGTCAGCACTGCAAATCTGTGTGGAGAGCGAAGCCAGGGTCACGCTTAGAGCCCTGACCCAGTCCCGAGGGCATGAAAGGGACAGGAGGACTGGGATGGAGCACCTCTTGGAGTCTGTGGGAAGGCCGTGTTGCTCCCAGTATCCCTTCCAGAATGTGTCAACCTCCTCTGGCATCTGCTCTGTGCTGGAGAAAACGTGGAAGAGCAGATCCATGAGGAGATGGGGGGAATAGTCTTGCAATTGCTCTGGGCACCGGGACATCTGGAGAATCTCCCAAACCACGATGGTTGCCTGCAAAAGATAAACCACCCAGACCAGCTCTCAGTGCCCAGATGTCCATGTGGCAGGGCCTGAGCATAGAAGGGAGACCCCAGGGAAGATGCAGGGGGAGCCCCTGGCCTGGTGCCCCTGAACCTGGCCCTAACCTACATTCCCAGCCCAGTGCCTGAGGCAGGAAGATGCAGTGTTGGGGAGGAAGGAGACCCACTGGAGAGGTGACCTGGGAAGGAGCCAAAGCCCATTGCAGAAACTCACAGCCAGAGCAAAGACAGGCGTGTTGTCCCCGTCAGAGGTGGATGAGCTGTGCAATGGCCAGTCCTCCAGCACACAGAGCAACTCTGGCAGCACCTTCTCCAGTGCCATTCCCGATGAGGCGATGGTCCTCCACATGCTGGCAGGAGCTCTGCGGGGCCAGAGTTGTGTGTCAGGGGGTGCCGGCCAAAGGGCCTTGAGGAGCAGGGAGGGAGCATGGCAGCAGGATCGGGGCTGACACGGCAGGGCTGGGAAAGAGAGGGGCCAGGGGATCCTGGAACTCTCTATCCCTCTGTCAGACCACGTGGGATGGGATGGACGGGGTGAGGGGCTCTAAAGACTGGTGAGCCCTGAGCCCTGAAGGCAGGGGGTCCTGTACCTGTCACAGGATGGGGCACAGCGCAGGAGGGTGACCACAACATCAGCAGGGTATGCCTTGGTCACCCTCAGAAATGCCGTGAGCAGCTCCTCTTCTAGAGTCACGTTGACTGTCAGTCTCTGGTACATGTTTCTCACGAAGGCTGGCACCTGCAGGAGGCATGGGGGAAGAGCTGCCTACTTGCCCAGCTTCCCCAACAAGTGCTTCCCTTCCCACCACATGATGCTGGCCTCAAAGGCTGAGTGGGCCCAGGGGAGCTGGCTTGAGGGGCCACATAAGCCTAGGGTGGCTTGAGGCCTGGCCACAGGCTGCTTACTTGCTCTGGACTGGAGACACCATTCTCCTCCAAAAGATCTGGAGTGGGAGCATAATTCACACTCTCCCTGGCCATGAGGTCAGGGTCTGCAGTGCCCTCAGCTGTTGCAGTGTCAGCCTCCACAGTGAGATCAGGCAAGGAAATGTCAGAGTTTGCCAGTTCATCGGTCAACGCAATGTCAGAGATTGCTGCGTGATCAATCGGTGAGGTGTCAGTGTCTGTTGTATCCTCAGTCAAAGCAGGGTCAGACTCTGCTGTGTGAACAATCAATGGGGTGTCACAGTTTCCTGTGCCATCAGTCAGCGCGGTGCTGACATCAGGCATCATCTCCAGCTCAGTCAGCCTGAGGTCAGGCTGTGCCATGGCCTTAGTCAGTCTGGTTGTGGTCCTTTTACGTCGAATGCCCAGGAACTTCAGAAAGGCCTGCAGGAGAACAGAGAGCAGGGAAGAGAGGGATGTGCCATGGAGAGCTCTGTCAGCAGTGCCAGGCAGAGCAGGGGGCGATGGCATCATATGTCACAAAGAGCCCTGTGACACCCTGCCCCAGTCTATCCCATTGGTGACACCCACTGTGTCACAAAGGGCCCTGTGACACACTGCAGGTACCTGTGCTGCCCTGCGGAAACGGCCACGGGCACGGCCCTGTTCTTGTGTCCTGTGCCGGCCTGGATCTGGCAAAGAGTGAGCACAGTCAGAGCTGAGGGGCTGCAGGACAGACCAGAGAACACAGCCCAGCCCTGCACTCCACAGGCAGGGCCAGCCCCGGGATGCCCAGTGCATGGAGCTGCCGGGGGATCAGCCACGGGCCCTCTTCCCCCTTCCCTATCCCTGGCCATGTCCACAGGGGATGGGATGGGATGGGATGGGATGGGATGGGATGGGATGGGATGGGATGGGATGGGATGGGATGGGATGGGATGGGATGGGATGGGATGGGATGGGATGGGATGGGA